AACCTCAGAGTCTCTCTGGAGAGACTGGGAGATCTTGAATATTGCTTGAGGCCAGAATGATTCAAGCTAAAACTGTTTAGTAGGTTATTAAAACACAGCAGACTTAGCTTGCATGACAAATCAGAGAGAAAGTTTAATAACCCTTAGGAATGTAATAACCATGGATGTCAACCACTTAACTAATGAAATATAATTTTGTTATTCCATGAGGGTCACTCCTTACAGCCTTTATAGCAGCTTTATATGCAGTTTTGAAGCTTAAACATTATTTTTCTTAGTAAGACAAGAGAAACTCTATAAAATTATTAATAACCATTTCAGCTACCTGTTGAATTTTATTTATTTATGTTTAAATTTGTTTTGGCATTCACTGCTCTGATTTGAGGAATCATTCTCAGAGGTTGGCATGCAGAAATCTAGCCCCTGCATGCTCAAGCAGTTCACTGCCTGGTTAAGGAGCAGTTGTCCTGTTCTTAGTGAGGCATTCTGAACTGCAGCCTGGCCTGGAGGTTTTTGATCCATTCTGCTAAGCATGACAAATATATGCATAGCTATGCAATGGACTACGTGTATCATAGCTACGCAATGGACTATGCGTATCTCCATACTTTTTCCAACTGAAATGCAAAAGCCCAGACAGCAACTTCCGTTCATTTTGTCCCAGGTCCCAACGTATGTATATACCATGCAACTATGTAGCCATTACCTCATTCAAATATTATCTTCACAGCAGTGACTGTGAAAGATGTTACAGACTGCTGGCCTATCCATACTGTTCTGGAAATACAAACAGCAGCACAACTATGGGTACCCTTTTTGTTGACTCTTTTTTCCCATTCATTTTAGCAGAGACAGGAGCTTCCAAACAAGTACTGAAACAAAACAAGCCTTTTCACATTGGTGTGGCTCACATGCCACAAATACACTGAAGTTTACCTAAAGGTCTAGACCAATAGCCTCAGATAAGTATTATAAATCACTGGAGCAGCTGTTGTCCTGCTAATAATATTTTCCTGTCTTTCTCCCATCTCCTGAAGCCCTCAGTGGTTGCTCACATCTATCACCAGTCATATATTTGCCAGTTCTCTGAATATTCTGTCTACATTCATGAGAGGGAAGAAGGTCGTAGCATTCTGTCTATAAAAGCAGGCTGTGATATCTTACAACCTCTAGTTTGTGAGGGAATGGACTGCGACACAGACATGCCTGCAACATCAGCAACTGGCAGGCAGGAATACGCTTGTTTGTCAGGAGTGGGAATCTACGCAAGAGCGCTTCACATATGCTTATTTTTCAAGTAGTCTCATTGCTCGTCTGTCTTATCAGACTGTCTCAGGGGTTCAAGCTAGAAAATAAATGTAGTGTAGGTTTTTCCTAACTGTGCCTTTTCAGATGTGTGTTCAGCCCTGTGCAGAGCCCAGCCGGCTGCATACATGCAGTGCCCCTTTCGCAAGGTCAGTCCACATCCACTGCTATCTTGGCCAATCCTCTAAAGGTGGAGTGGTTTTTAAGTATTAACTTCTAAAAATTAGTTTTCAAAACCTGCAGAGAACAACGGTGCTCCTGACTGGCACAGTACCAGTGTTACCATGTGCATGTTCTCCGGCTATGCTTCCACACAAATGGGGCTCAACTGTCTAATAATTTCCATCTTTCATGTTCTTTTACCTTTCCAGAGTAACATATTGTGCCACTGTAACAGAGGTAAATAATGTAAACTATTATACTTTCCAACGCCTCACACAATTTGCCAGAATAAAGGCCAAATTCAGAACTATTCTGAGATCATTTGACAAAGATAAACTTCAGGGCTGCAGCATTCAAAACCGCTGGAGAGCTCCCAGTAACTCGAGACAGAATGTAGTATACAATTTTCAGTGAAGTGATAAGTAAGATACTTAAGCATTGTAGACAACATTTGAAAAATTTCTTAAATAGCTTTTACAACTGCTATTGTGTGATGAGCTGGCAGCTTTTCTTGCCATAGAGTCCTGTCATACTGTTCCTGACACTTAATCCCCATTTGTTAAAAATACAAGTTCTGCTTTAAGATAGTCTTTAAAATGTGAGATTAAAAGGAAACAAACATTATCACTTTGTAGAACTTTCCAATTGAAAGGCTTTTAGCCTTTTTTCACCATTAGTCATGAAAGCTAGAAATGCACTTTAGTCTTGAAAATGAAAGTTGAGATTCTCCAGATGCTGGCAATTGCAGCTTTAAGCTAAATACCAGGTACTAGAAAATAACAGCACATAGAGGGCAATCTGAGGCTTCGAGATAATATTTGCTTTACCAGTTCTTGATGCACAAATAAAAGATCTACTTAGCAGGCTGAGGAAGTACCATTAATACCCCCCTTTTTTAGTTTAGCTGTAGCTCTCTATAATAAAAGGTAAAGAGGTAAGAAGGTTTAAAAAATGCATCATGTCTTCCTCCTGCCTTTCTCTTTTCCTATCTTTACCTTGCTTCTATGAATGCATATAGCTGCTTAAAGCAGGGTGGAGAGGGCATAAGAGGATAGAGAGGTTAAAAGAGTGTGATCTGTAAGAAAAGTAGCATTGACCAAACCACTTCTGAGCGGAACACCCTTGCATAGGTGTCATTGGATCCATTAAGTGCAAGGTAGGAGATCATTAAGAGAGTAACCAATGTATTCATTACGATGTTGCTTAAGAGGTTTCAGGATTTCCAACTAAATTTGGTCAAGAGCTGTGCCCATCTCAGCTAAAGCAGCTTGTAGTTGTTTGCCTTCCCTTGTTGTATCAAAACAAAAGTTTAAATAAAAACCATGCTTGGTAATAATTCTTGGGGCGGGGGGGAGGTTGCACAGAGCCTTCTTTTGTACATATCTCAAGCACAAGGCAAAAGCGGTCAAGAGTTGTAGCTAGATGGGAGTGCAGATGGGAGGAAGGGGGAGAGACGCTGTCCAGAGCCCTCCCAAGAGAGCTTAGAAAGCCTGATGGGGAAAGCTGCAACAAGGCAGTGGGACCAGATGGTTTAATTCCTCCTTTCCCTTCCCACTGCCTTCGGCGCATCTCTGAAATTTGTTCAAGTACAAGCTGTGAGATGCAGTAGGACAGGTAGGGATCTAAACAACTGCGACTCATCCTGATACAGTTGCTGTGAGTATCCAAACAACAGGGTAAATAAGAGACCAAACTAAGGCAAAACAACACAGGAACTGAGGGCAGCTTTGGGGTTTTGAATGTTGTGAGACAGTGTACGTACATATCCATTTTTTGCAGCTCTGCAGTAATATTTTCTGCTAAGGCTGCAGCAAAACACTGAAATTCAGTCTGCTGCACCGCTGAGCTGATGCAGGCCCATTTCAATGAAGCCCGATGTTAACACACTCAGATTCTCTGAAATCAGACACCTAAATGCGGGTGACTACTGCTCGCGCTTTCTGTATAAGTAGCCCAGCTGCTTGAAGTTTTATCTGTGTTTAAACACCCTGGAAGAGGATGCCAACTAGTTAGACACTGTAGAGTCTTCCTGCCACTGCAAAGCTGCCAGAAGCTACGTGCAGGATTAATGCACAAGCTCAGCTCTGTGGGACAAACTGTGCCGCTGGTTGAAGACATAAATAAACCAGAGCACACAGGCAGCCAGGAAAAAGCTCTCACAACCGTCTGCCCTGAAGCACTGATCTAAACAGCTCAAGCTACCAATGTCTGAAACATCACTAGGGTCACAGACCATAAAAAGAAATGTTAACTGTAGGTGCCTCAGCATAAATTCATTCCCTAGAGATAACACAGAGGATCCAGTCATGCTGCTAGTGCTGAGAGGTTTGGCAGAGAACTTAAAAGAGGTATGAGACTGCACCTAGGTTTCCAGGCTCTCCTGTGTTATTTCTTCTCCTGGGCATTATTGGGCAAACTACAATCCAGGAATTATTTTTCTTTTCTTATGTCTCCAGGTGCTAGGCCAAAGGGTGGAGCCATCACTAAATACTCAAATAACATAGGACTGTATGCACTGTCCCTTACTTACATGATAAAAGAACGTATCAGAAGCAACATGTGGAGAGTAATCTCTCCAAGTTTACAGCTCAGCTCAAAGACAGAATACATAAACATTTTGCGTTAGTTTCAAGATTATTAAAAAATGCTTCCCTCATGCTGCATGTACAAAAACTGGGACCTATGCATAGTTAAGTTTTCCCCTGATGTTGTGGGAACAGTACCAGCACAATGTTCTTGTGGGCAGGGAACCACCGCTACGCTCCTGTGCCAGGTAAAACCTCCGCAATGGTTTCAGACACCCTTTTCTAGCATGCTGATACATGAGCACAGGAGGACAAAAGGGACAGAGCTGAAGAGATTACTGCTACCAGTTGTTCAGCCTCTCCATGCTCTTAAATTTCCTGCCCCAATTTCAGGTTACTTTCAGGCTTTACACACAGCTATGGCTTCAAAGTTGTTCTTTCTCCAGGGAAGACACCCTCTTGGAATGATGGCCAGCGAGTGGTGCAGAGCTATATGACTTTATTCTGCTGGTGCTCATGATGTGGTAAATTGCAGCCTATGGCATTTCCTCCCACATTAGTTTAAGAACAGTGATGGGCCTTGTGCTTTTCCTAAAGCAATATCTGTACCACACAGTATCTCTTGAGAAATTACTTGCAGCCAGGCCCAGGCAGACAGCATCCCAATCCATATCTACTCACAGAAAATTATCTAGAACTGAGGCAGTAAGAGAAATGTAATGCAATGTTTAAAGCACAAGCACCCAGAGAACAGTAGCTGATCCCACAGTCCATGTGACAGAGCCCCTGCCCTGTATGTTGGCAAAGTGATCCTTAAAGTTTGGTAGGTCAGTTCAGGAAGGATGCACTCAGTGGAGCAGCATTTAATTAATGACCATCTCCCATAAGCAACACAAGAGAAATTTGTAATATTTGTTTCAACCTACTGTTTTCAGTCCCTTCTCCGGCACAAGCATGTCCATCATTTTACCAGGCCAAAAAGAAAACTAATCAATGATTGGTCCTTACCTTTTTTGTATCTATTTAAGTTCAGCCTCCAAAGCCTGTACTTTTGTTTCCCAAGCAGTTACTTCTCTCTGCAGGTCATCAGTTACTACAACTAGGAGTTAAGGGTGTTTAGTAATTTGTATTAAAATGACTACACAGCAACTGCCTCTGAGATGCTTAGCTCTCCTGTAACCTGCTGCCATGTGAAGCGTCATTTGGTTTCCAGAGCAGAAAACACAGGCCACACTGCAGATTTGTTCCATGGGAATTTATCCCACTAGGAGAGCCTTATTCCTGACCAGGAGGAATACTTGGGCAGGCTTTGAATTCTCAGGGCTGCCGAAGACGTCTTCTACTCAGAGGTAGAAGCCCAGTTCTCAAAGGCAAAACACACATGTAAACATTTTTAAATGAATTAAAGTTGAAGTAAAAAACACACAAACAGGCAAAGAATGGAAGAAAAAATGCTGTTTATAATATGAGATAGAGGGTTTGTTATTTCACTTACAGACAACAATAAACAAGTGACTCATTCCAGATACTTTTTTCCCCCAGTTACGTTGGTCAGCTCATCTGCTATGTAACAGAGGGTTTATCTTTCTGCTCCTCACACTTCTAGAAATCACACCTTTCCTCAAATGATGTTACAAGAATACCAGACATTAACACAAGTAATTTTTTTTTTTTAAATATACTAAAAGTTTGAAAACCAGATTATAGAAACATGAGAAATTTATTTCTTACTTCCACATTCTCCTTTTTCTCCTTGTGGTCCTAAATCTCCCTTTATTCCCAGAGGTCCTGCTTTTCCAGAGAAACCCTGTAGACCTCTCAATCCTTCTCCTAGAGTTTGATTCAAAATAAAATTGTTTTAATGTTTTCTAAGTTTTTCTCCCACTATGTTTTCTTAGTGCCTATAGAGAGTATCAAATACTGACTCCTCCCCCCCGCCCAGGAAAATACAAACATCTCAGGAAAATGGAATTGTTCCTGTGGAAAGCTTCATTTGCTAGGAAGAGCATTACTTTGATGAAAAATTCTTCACTACACCTGCTCATGGCGCTGAAAATCCAATGAAATAAAAGCTGTCTCATGTTATTACAGAGGTACACATGCTCTAAAACCAGAAAGCCAATATACCTCAGCTGTAATCCAATCACACATCATACACAGTATATGATCTAGAAAATCAGCTAAATCATAGGATTAAGGACACTTCTTGAAGCAGTTTGTTGAAACAGATAACGCTGGCTTTACTTATTTTAACCATGAAATTGTAGAGGTCATACTGAGGGTATGTGGACCAGAAAATGTCTATACAGAATATCAATATATGCCACTGAAATTTTATGCCATAGTTCATATCAAGTGGTATTGATAATGATGGGAGTTTGCTTGGAGGTTGAAAAGCAATTATCTAATTCCAAGATGCATGGTATATACATGATAACACAGACAGGATATGGTAAGAAAGTATACGATTCCGTATGTACTTATTAAGTGTTTGGACAGAAACGATGATTTGCCAGCTTGGGAGAGCAGGTGATTTGGTTCTCCCACATGACAGAAAACACTTGCTGATCTATTTGCTGTTTGCAGCAGCCCATGAAAAAAGTTACCTAACTGACAAATCATGCCTTGGGGGAATTCTGTTGTTGGAACTTAGTGAGTATGAAGCAATCAAGTTATGACCATCAGATTAGTAGCCAACTCTAGCATGCATGATTTCTGGTTTTGAGAGCTGGCCCCTGGAAAGAAAAAGCAATAATCATTTAGTAGGAAACTCTGCAAGTGATTCAGAGTACAAATGGTACAATCAGATTAAAATCTCATTACATCTCTGTTTTATGGGCTGCTGTGAAAATGTATTGTATTTTTTTATTTATTAAAAGCCAAGTATCTAGAATAGCATTATAAATGCAGAAAGCATTTCCAGCTTCCTGAAATTGTGCAGAGCCTGCAAAAGGTTAATGGGGCAGAAGAAAAGGAGAGAAGTAAAAAGACAAAATGGAAGAATGAAGGAGGCATGAAACAAGACTAAAGGGATGCTAAGGAGTGTCAAAAATACAATATTGCTAAATGGTCATAGCTCTGTACCTCGTTCTCCCTTTTCACCTTTGGGACCATCTCTTCCATCTCTGCCTGGTAAGCCATTGACCACAGGAGCACTGCACTGAATTACTGGGCAGGAATAAATTTTCCTTTCAGGTTTATCTGTGTTAACTGAACTTATTACTATCAACAGTGAAAGCCAAAGTACCAAGGCATTGGAAGGCTGAAGAAGAGTCATTGCTAAGTCCACAGATCTGTGACAAATCAAGCAGAGTAATTTCATAAATTTCCCTGTTTACATCATTTTGAAGGGTTGCCTAGGAAAGAGTTGCCTGCATTGCCTAGGAAATACATTCTCATCTTCAGCCAAAAGACCAAGAACACGGGATAGTGTTATTTCATCTAGCCTCTGATTGTGTCTTTATGTGTGGAAACTAGAAAAGAAACAGCCAAGCTTATAAGAATCTGAAAATCTCAAGGTGTAATGAAAACATCTAATATAGCAAGTCATCAATCTCACCATGCGGAAAATCCATTTAAATGTTTTGTTCATTGTATGTCTAAATTTAAAGCATTTCTATTCATACAAAATGAGTCACACAGTATTGCGGTTTGGGATGAATCCTGAATTCTCCAGCTATTGTACTTCTGCTGGGACTCTTCTTTCCACAGCTATCAGAATTGTTGTATGTCTGAGCTTAGAGGGATTAAACTGTTTCTCTTGATAGCATCTCCACTACTAGCAAACACTGATAGCTTAGAGGACAAAAAGCTTAAGTGCATTTAAGTAGTAATGATCTGATTGCCTCCCAATTTCTCCTTTCAGACCTTGTATATTAATAAGATACATTTTTTCCCGAGTATTACACCTCTGAACCAAAGTCCTCTTGGATCCCAGATCCGCAATACTTTACTGCCCTCTCTGAGCAGAACAATAACATCATAAGCTAAAGTTCTGCATGACATTCTGACAAGTTGCACCACAGTAATTGTCCTTGCTTTTAATGAGGGTCCAATTGGAGGCAATCCTATCCCATGTATTCTGCGTTTAACTAAAAAAAATAAAATGAAACTACCACAAACATGAGGTGACAAACTTTTATAGCAAATAAGCCACATACTAAAGTCAATTGGCCTTGTTTTCTCCCAGTTCTACCAGATAAAATGAAAAACAAGCCTAAGGAAGCACCATTTCGTTGACAGATGGGGGTAAGGGGGAAAAAATAAAATCCAGCGTGAATTTTGCTAGTCACCTCAATTATTTCCCTTTATTTTAAGCTTCAGAAAAGATTACCCACAGAGAGCAGCTTCCCCTGTCATGTGTCATCTGATAAAGTACAATATAAAGTATAATCACTAGCACATTACTGAGAGAACATTATCCTTAGGATAAAGCAGAGTTTAAGCACCACCACTTTTCTGTATACTTCTTTGTGTGTCCTCCATTAGGCTCCCATCAAAATCTGGGGCAATGGCATCCACCAAAATAAAATAAGGACAGGTATTTAGCTAACTAGTATAACAAGATTTGAATCCTGGTTTATATTTCTTATGCAGCTTCATGGGCTCAAGCCAGTTCTTAACAGCTCTCTAAGGACTGCCTTCTGCTGAATTTTTATACTATGTTAATTATCCAATACCGGGGAAGTTGACATTGCTGCTGTCTCCCATGAAGGAAGCAAGACAAAGCTCAAAATAATGGTACAGTAAAGGAAAACTTGAAAACAAAATGTTAAGCTCTCAGAGAAGTCCTCTCCCTACAGAGATTCAACCTCACACAAACCTTTGTTGTTTTCGCCTGCCAGCAACTAAGATCTATTCACCTCCAAAGTTTTCCAAGTTGACCACCCCAGTCCTTTATTCTAAGAGAGACGAAGTGCCTGTTTACATTTGGCAAACTGGTGGCAGGATTTCCCAGCAATGAAATCATTTCCCAAAGAGACTAATGATAATTTGCACCAACAATGATTTAGATAAAAAAGCAAAATGTTCCAAATTTCTCACAAAAACGGAGTAAATCTTAGGGAGCTGAAATAGAAAAAACAGGGTTTGCGATCCATATTTATATTTAGAGGAGATGGAGAATCCCACATGGAGAATCACACTAAGTGTGAATGTAATGACAGTCCTCAGGTCCCCAGGCTTACACAGTTGCAGACTTTGTCAGCAGAGAGATCAGAATTAGGCCTTGAAAGATGCCATGAAACTTTTATATTTAGGAGGTAGGTAGTTCTGGAGGTCCTATTTAGAGACATAGATCTCACATAATTCTTTTGTTCCTCCATAAAATGTGCTTTAGAACATGATTCACCCAATGCAGGTAACAGCAGGGAAGGGATGCTGGAAGAGGCAGCAGGGAGTCCTTGTTCCCAACCTATACTTGGAGATGACAGCTCTGAGTCATTAGCCCGAATCCCGAGAGTCTGACAGCACAGGGCAGTCCTATTGAAATAAAATACTAGGAAAACTGCTCCTCAGAAGCCAATATTACATTTATACAGAGAATACTCAGGGACAGAATGCTATTAAACTGACAGATTACATCCTGCTAACAGTCCTCCTCAGCAGCTTCCCATGCTGCGGTAGGGCAGCCTCCAAAAGCCCTTTCTAAGTGGCATGTCTGCACCTGCAAGGGTTGCATGGCCTCAGTATGGTCAAATACCTATCACAGCAAAAGGGATTTTTACTTACCACACCTTTAATTGATCAGTACACAATCAAACTCTTATCACACCACTGGCTTCCCTGACAGCCTGCGCAACAGAATGTAGTAGACAAGAAATGGAACAGAAATCTGCTGGGATGAGCCTGCCAAGAGGGGAAAAAAAAAAAAAATCCCCTACATTTCTACTAAAAGCTGTAATTTTGTGCTTTATTTTGGGAAGAGGTTGCTTACTGGCTTATCTCTGACTTGCACAATCCTAATGATTGCCTACCTCAGTGTTACCACCCATATTTACAGGTACTGCACATGACATTCTGGGAGTGAGCCTTTTGCTCTTTGCCTGGCCTTGGACAGACATTGGCTGTGTTACAGTACAAATGAACAACCAAAAAATCAGAACAACTGCAGGCACTGAAAGTTTTGACTGTAAGGTTTTTCCCTTTTATTCAGTCAATGGATTCATTTTTGAATAACCTAGGAGACGGAAGGATATTTGAGGCTTGCTTGACTGCAGTGACTGACTTTTCTGCAATGTACTCTGAATTGTCCCTGGAATAAACTTGGCCAACCCAACCATACCCATTTATGTTTAAAAATGGGATGTGGGTTTGGAAAAAACAACATGGGGTGAAGGAAAGTATCTTCAAACTTTTACGTAAATCACTTAGTACTTGTCTACCTATAATGCTAGTGATACAGTTAGTGATTAGAATAAACTTCTCAATAGAGCTTGCGCTGTCCAGCTGGCTGTGGTACCATTGTGTGGACATGAAAAGTACAGTAGCAAGAATAGTGTGTGGAATATTGCCACGGTAGCTCTGCAAAATTAATAACGTAACATATAATGCTGAGGAAGAGATGTCTTGGGCAATTCTGCTTGCAGAAAATTTCCTTACCCAGAGGAAGTTCTGTTAGACATCTCCAGCTGCAAAAACCGATCCAAACTCCATCCCTGCAGCAGTGTCAGGAGTGATTTTGTTCCCAAGATCCCATTTCTGGGGCTGTTGTTCTCTGATGTGCTGGCATCAGATAAAGATGTTATAGGCTGTCAGGCTGCCTTTGTATCTTCCCTGTTCAGGAGCTAGAATAAATTTAGTCTCAGTAAAAATGAAATGAAAACATCACTTCAGAGCAGTGCTATTTGTCAGCCATGATTTGATAAAAACATTGCAAAGCCAGCATCATTAAACAGAGATTTGGGATTAGAGATCTATTTTTTTAAATAGGAAGCTGAAATTTCCATACTGACCTTTGCTAATTTGGCCAAGAGCCAAATGTAGTATCTATATGCTGTCAACACACAGCATCCAGGGCTCATCTTGTCACCTTGCAACTCACAAAAATGTCTGGTTTGTTGAATGGCTGCTGAACTTCCCTGAAGGTTGCTTGTCTGCAAAAGCGGAAGTATGAAGCAGCTCAGATCCTCAGCAGTTTCCCCACCCCTAGGTTCTCACCAGGTCAGGACACCACCTTGCTGAAACATAGTTTATCACACAGTAGAAATTTTGTTAATCTATGTCAAACCCAGCATGTTTATATGTGGTATCCAAATCTACAGGACTATTGCAAATTCCTGCATCAAGTGGCAAATAAAAATCGTAAGGGCAGACGGCCTAGTATTCACAAATTATTAAATGTCTGTCTTCACTGGATTTGTAATATCATTTTCTATCTGCCTATTTCTATACAGCCCTTCCTTCCTCCAGAATTATTTGGTTCTCCTGATTCCCAGTTTGAGTACCGAGTTCCTCACTATTTAGATCTTTGAACATACCTTCTTTCTGCATATCGTTCATTTGGGGGAATGGTCTTATGTCTGGCTGCTCTTTGATATATGGTGCAGCTCTCTGCAGATTTCCTTGGAGAAGCAAGCAGCTCAGCACATGAGAACACTTGGCTTTTGAAGTTTCAAACTTGCCTTTGGAGCCATCAGTTTTGAGTATTCTTCACCAGCAGCAACATCATATGGGAATAACAGAAGTGGGAACTATATCCAATTATTTTCATCACAGCATAGCAGGGTGACAGTTTCTAGACACTTGCAAAAGAATATATGGCTAAAGCAGTGGATAGAAATGCACAGCTAGCTCATTGATTCACTTTGATGTCAGACCAACAGAGTGCTCTTATCCCCAAACCAGGAGTTTACAAAGTATTTCAAACTTTTCATTGAGACAACTTGAGTCAGGATTAAAGACTTTTGAAGAACAAAACCCTAGGAGTAACCTTGTTTCAGAAAAACCTCAGGCATTATGGAGCACCATTCTTAATAGGTGCTCATACAGTGAGTTTATAATTAGAGCTCTTAGAAAGATATAAAGGGGAAGCTGTCCTGTGCAGGATCTTTTTCTTCTGAATTAGCAGTGATTTATCCCTTACCTGTGTAACCTACCATGCCTCTGTACTTCTGCACAGTAAGAAGGATGGAGCGGAGCTGAAGCTCTTCACCTATTTCTTTTCACTTGTCAGCCTGCCACAGAGGCTATGCAGATGAACAGTTGCTTTTTGTTTTGGGGTAGCACCTTGAGCCAGCCCTCATTAAGGATGAAATCTTTGGATGGCCTGTGTCCACT